TATAACAGAAGAGAAGAGATTTAATTATTTTTTTTTTTTTTTTAGTGTTGTTTTGGAATCCATTGACTTTCATTGGATGCACAAAACAGAAGCAAGTCATACAGATTTGGAACAATGTCAAAGTGAGTAAATGACAGATTACAGAGTGTTCATTTTTGGGTAAACATCATTTCCAACTGTGGAGAGACTAATAAGCTTTAGAACATCACTAATTGGCCTGCCTACTGGCAACCATTGTACAATTCAGTACAATTCTACCTGACCCTTTCCGCTACTCTTTCACTAAACAGGGCATGTCCCCCTTCCTTTTTCTTTTAAGCCCACATCTCAAGAGGATCTGTTACAAAAGCTTCAGGGTGTGGCATCAAATATAGAGGAGGAAAAGTGCCTGCACAGCACACTGCATTCATGCAGACGCATTCTGAACAAAGACTCAGTTCTGACAATACCTGTTTAAACTGAGTCACCTAAGAGGCATCCAGCCTCTCATAAACATGACGTAAAACCCGCATAATTATCTGGTCCGTTTGACTGCTATTACCTCAATGATGCATCTTTATGGATAATATAAGTTTGTCAAAGTTTAAAACGCTAAGATGGAGAGAGTGAACTGTCTTGCTCAGCAATTATTAGACGCTTAATGCGGCCATTCATATTGATCTCAGTTATGTTTCTGACAGGAAGTGTAGACTTAACACATTTACTGAAACAATGGCGTTTTTGCATTAGAGCCCTGTACAAATAGATGACCAGGCATTTCTGTTAGTCAGGACTATGAAAAGAGTTTGAGAAAGCTGATATTCTGTTGACAGTACACGTTTCGGTCTCTTTGCTTAGCATTATGTTTCTCATAAGTGTATTTTGTACTGACACGACTGGTTCAATGCTGTGCACCAGACACATTCACAAGTCTATGCCACAGAGAAGTCTTAAGTCTTTCATAGTCTAAGCCAAAATCCAAGTTTTTCATGTTGACACTGTAAAAAAATGGTTGCCTTCAATTATTAAGTATACTAAACTTGGATGTTTAAGTTATTTTAACATAAATTACATTATACTGACTGACTTTTTTTACAGTGCATCTCTAAGTTAGTAAAAGAAAGTAGTAGTAATCACAAAATTCTTGCTGTTCCTCATTTGAAAGTCAAATCATCTACTAAATGGCTAAATGTAAATATAATCCCTTTTAGTCAAGTCTTAAGTTCGTTTTTTTTTATAAGTCTAAATCGAAACTGCAGTTTATGTGTAACTTAAAGGGATACTCCACCTCTGGAAAGATGAATGTGTACATAATGGGTCATTTATGTAGAAGAAATGTGAAATTATTTTTGAATTTGGAGCTTTCTAGACTGAGAAAAGCCAGAAAATGTATTTTTGGCTTATGTGGATGAAAGACAACAACTCCCAGAATGCACTTGCTTCCCTACCCTAGGAGGCCACGCCTACCGGTAACAGTGCAGTAGTTAAACAACAAATCTAGGCTACTAGTGAGTCTCCATGATGAGTCTGCCCGAAAATGTGTTTCGAGATCGCCCAAAATGTCCAGGATTCTGCTTTTGCGTTCTACAGTCGCCATTCATTATGTTTACTGTGGCGAGCAGGACGAGACTGAGGGCCGCGGGACAACGGCGTGAGGCCGGTGGCGTGATTACCGATGTATCTGTCACGGATGAGCGGGAATTTTCTTAGCAATGTTAAAACGCACATCAACCGATCACTTGTTTAGCGTTCATGTAAACACTATTCAGATTCACCAATTAGAATGAATTCAGTTAGATTGAAACAAAAGGTGTGCATGTAAACAATGAATGGCGACTGCAGAAAGCAAAAGCTGAATCCCGGACATCAACCATCCACCCAAAAGAGGATGGTTACCCCTAATACTCAGCTATCTCCACAAAACAGGAGCCTGCTAGCTTAGTTAGCTTCCAAAAAAAGATGGCTGACACTGTGTACATTCTGTGAGTGAGATCCTGGAGAAAGACCCTACTACTGACTCTAGTCTTTAGGCTGTGGCCAGAAAATCCTCAGATGACGCAAAATGACGATTTTTGCGTGATCTGAGGATTTTTTCCAGACAAAAAAATTACGTTAATCTCTCGTCTCAGGGGGATGAGGGTGGAAAGCATGGTAATTCGAAAATACTAGGTTTTTTACAAATACAAAGCGTAATGCTAAATCCTGAAGTATCCCTTTAAGCCTGGTTCACATTGCCCCAACAAACACTAAGATTTTAAACGGTGAACATGATTTCACCAAGTACAACATGTTCCTGGATCAACATCTTTATTGATCCTGGAACAACGTTCCAATCAACCAACAAAAAAATGAACACTGAAGTTTTCTGCTGTATTTATGTAAGCATAACCATCATGCTCTCACTGACTGACAACACAAATAGGTTAATACAGTGATCGAACAAAACCCACACTGTAAAAAATATTTTTGTTTAACTTAAATAAGTAAGTAACCTGGTTGCCTTAAAATTTTAAGTTCATTGAACTGGAAAAAGTGAGTTAATACAATGAAGGAGAATGATTTAATCATCAGAAACTCTGAATTGAAATTATATGTTATCTGAACTAAATAAAATATTTAGGTGATTTGACAAAAGAAAAAATGTTGTGATTACTACACTGTAATAAAAATATTGTTGGTTTAACTTAAAAAAGTAAGTAACCTGGGTTGCCTTACAATGAAGGAGATTAATTTAATCATCAGAAACTCAAAATAATAAGTTATCTCAACAAAATAAATTATTATAAAGTTGATTTGACAAAAGAAAATATGTTGTGATAACAAATCTTGAAAATATTTTTTTACAGTGCAACAACCAACTGAAATTTGGTGCTCGTTGGCACTGTGTGAACGAGGCTCAGACACAAATATCCATTTCTGCTTTGAAAAAAAAAAAAACGTCCACATAATGTGTTTGAAAGAGATGATGTCCCACTGAGAGTAGAGATTAGGTTCATTTATTATTAGGCCTCTGCATGTGGGCTGATTCATTGGTTCATGACCATAAATATAAAAATAATTTACATGCAAGACACATGTTGCACACCATCCAACCATAGTGTTTTTTTTGTTTTGTTTTTTTGAATGGCAGCATATTAGGCACTGTACAAGTAACTTACTATATTTCTCTCCACATTATTCTGTTACAGAATGGGTCTGGTACCATTCTTTGTAGATGCAGGGGAGGAGGCAGAGTTCTCAATTCATCAGGTCTGTATAACCCAGACATTGCACCACCTCAAGAACAGGAATGTCTCTCCATCTGGGCCATGTAGAAATCTGGCACAGCAGCTCTGAGTCTCTCAACCAAATCAGTTCTTATTGAAGCTGCACTGGCAGCAGCCATAAACATCCTGCTCACTCCTGTATAGACCAGCTGTGAATTATCACTAGATGTTGCTGGACGTGCCACGTTTTTCATATTCTTCTGGTGCACATTTTTTTTTTCTTCTTCATGGAATTACTTTAGATATGAGAGGAGATACAGATAAAAGTAAAGAGACTCATTATGAGATTAATATTCATTTGCATTTTGCATTCAAATATAAATAATTCAAATGAATGTCTCTCTCTTTGGCGATGTACTGTGCAACGCCTAGTCTGCTGCCACAAATGCACAAGACGTCAACAAACATACATAGATCCACAGCAAACCAAAAGCAATGTGCCTGCGATGTGCAATTCGTAATAATACTATTAGAAATAGTACCAGACTGATTATTAAAGAATCAACAACTGTTGAAACCATCAAATTTAATCTTATTTTTATACTTAAGCATTGATTAGCACTTCAGGAAAGAACAAGGCTGCAATTTCAGAAGCTGTGTGTCTCATACGGCTTTATTGATTTGAAATGAAATGAGAGAAATATTAAAGGTGAGAGCATCTCTCTACATCCCATTTCATGCGATGCCATGTAATTGAGTCGTATATATATATATATATATGAAGAGTTCAGATGCAAAAGCCTCTAAATGCCATATGAAATTTTCTTCTAAAAGGACCATTTTTATCAAGCTTGTATATTTAAGTTCAGTAATTTCACTTAAATGACAATTAATAGGTAATCTTCATTGCCATTTAAGTGAAATTACTGAACTTAAATATACAAGCTTGATAAAAACGATCATTTTAGAAGAAAATTTCAAATGGCGCATAGAGGCTTTTGCATCTGAACTCTTCATATATATATATATATATATATATACTCAAATTAACAATTTACTCAATACTGAACATCATGCATTTTTACAGGTTTTCTTATCCAGTAGTTTGTTTGAATTTATATTATATTTCACTCAGCATGGTGATGTCAAACGCAATGTTATTGAAATAAATTGCTAGTCGAGTCTCAAAATGGGTGCGGAGTATTATTTGTGTCCCGCATGAAGGTGCTGTTTACGCAGTGTCACCGATGAGTTTCAATGATGGTTAGCATGCTGCCCATGCAGACAGTTGGCAACTGGGCAGCTCACTAGGTTTTGGAACAGACCTACAGTGCTGTCTGTCACCATGGAGATTTACTGCAAAACTTCTGCAGTCAAACAGCTCAGACTGAGAGATGTCGTCAGTTATCTTCAACACCACAGATCTAACAGTAGTTGAACAGGGGAGGAACAGCTCCATCTACAGTGCATAACTATACCCTCTCCATCCAGCAACACTTGTTCTGTTAGTCCTCTAAATAGGAATGTATGCGGCACTGACTCTTTTCCAAGGACATCATTGAAACCTGTTCACTCAAATCTCTAAAATCCATTACAAAGCACATATTCATAAATGACAGACGCAGGCAGGTCATTCATAAGCCACGCATTTAAATTCTTTCATTTGGCAGACACTTTTATCCATAGGCTTATTATTATGCATTATGCATCAATTAAGCAGCCCCTTATGTATATTTTTGGAATCAACAGAACAAAAAGCTGGCAAATGATTTGTAGGCTATGCAGATAAGTGTGAGGTGATAACATCAGACTTACCTGATATGATGGGAGCCAGACGAAAAATATCAGACAGACGGCTGTTTACTGGCTCATATGGCGAGTCCTCCAGCAAATCATTGGCTGGAAGATAAACCATCAAAGTCAGAAATAATAATTTAGCAAGTAAGAATTCAAACTGTTTACACGCACCATTCTTAGAACCAGTTGATTTAACCTTATCCATGTTAAACGCATGGTTATAACAGCAGGGTAATGCATTTTTGACTAAAAAAGGGGGTGATCAGAGCATGATCATTTTTTTTATTCTGTTCAACTGCGGTTACGCATGTATCTGCTCACCCTGTAAACTCTGGTATATACTCCAGAAGATGCGCAGACAGTTCTTCTCTTTCTTCATTCCTCTCCTACATTTGCAGTCGTACAGAGGACTCTGTTTCATAGACTCTATGGCGTTCCGACACTCGTCCTGCGCTTCGGGTTCAGCCAGCATGCTGAAGTTACTGGCTCTCCCGGCCACACACTGTCTCATGGTTCGATACTTAGTGCTGCAGATGTATTTCGCCAAACACTGTTCATGAGCCCTAACGCAGTCCACTCGAACCGATCGAGAGTGTGCGATCGCATCTGCCTTTGAGAAGAGCACTAGATCTGTGCAGGGAAAACACAAAGTTACAGATGTGAATGAGACAGAATGGTAAAACTGTCACAGTTGGCTTTTAATACTATTTTCTAATGTTCATAATCATTTTGATAGCACTTATCTAGTTGGTGGACTGTGGACCCCATTTAACAAATAAATATAGACAACTTATGTTTGCTATCTAAGACAAAACACTTTAAATCTGTTTCCTACCAGGTGTAGATATTATAATAATCAACATTGTTATACAAAAAAAAATGTGTATGCATTTGAATTACAATATTATATTTGTTGCAGATTCAAGCGCAAATACATATTGGAACACATGCATCGCAACTTACCAAGGACAGGCAGCATTATCCAAAAAGTTACGAAAATCATCGTCGCTTTATTCATATCCATTCAGAAAAAAGAGAAACTTGTTAAACACGAAATAGAAGAATTTCCACAGTAAATCCATTGCGCGCCAGATGCGCACTGGTGCAAGTGGTGAGGAACAAGTGATCAGACATCATACACATCCGGACAGACTCCGACAAGCGCTCAGTGCTGCTCTGCTGGACACACCCCGCGACAAGAGAATTAAAAAACAGTACTAAGAGATAATATATATATAACGATAAAATAATATCGTAGCATTGCGCTATAGGCTATTTATCCATTTGATGTCTCCTTTATCGTATCAGGAATCGATCAGTTTCTTAAACGTTTTCTTATCAAAATTCACATAAAATGGACATTCCAATATCAGTAAAAGTTCATGTCAGTCCACATTTAATGTCAAATATGAGAGCTGTTGCGCGCTCACTGACCGTTGCGCGCTCTCTGACTGTGAGAAGACACTGCGCATGTGCTCAGATCTCTGGAGAAGGTCATCCTTTTGGCTCAGTTGGCCAGTGAATTCGCTGATTAGGCACCATTAAGCACTTTACTTAATAAGAATTAAGAATTAAAAGACTGTCCAAGCAGAAATGGAAATCCACTTTGCGATCCATATCTGACACCCTGTGAGAAATTTTCACTTGACGTTTTTTTTTCCTTGCAACAATTTATGTCCGTTTTTTAACACGTTGACTCCTATGAATTAGACATTGTAACTAAATACTAACAATTTTGTTCAAATATTTTTTTTTAATATATATATATATATATATATATATATATATAGATCTAATAAAAAAATAATTGCCAAGTTTTATTTATTTATTTATTTATTTTGCTGTTGCTGTGGTTACCTCAGGTGAAAGCGTCTAAGGCACACTAATCAGAATAGGCTACACTCTGTAAAAAGAACACACACTTTTAACACCGCCAACATTTTTATCCTCCACAGTTTAATATCGGCTACTGCATAAGAGCACTATGACGCCATACAACACTAATAAGAGTTTGCTTGCTGTTCGCATCCACATTTAGTCTGACACCTGTAACTCTTTCCTTTTATTCATTTAAGTGTCTCATATGATCATAAACCCCGTTATGATATTTCTTGATGGTATGGAGAGCATGAGCGCCACCTGTTTACTAAAGACAAGCATGACAGTTGCCCTTTCAAATCAATGAAGCAGAAGAATATAAATGAATATATTTTCTCTCGTTATCATTTGCATAGAATCCATTTTAATGTTTTATTATTTTTTTTAATAATATGTATTTATAGTGGCCTCTTTGTTTAATTAATTTCTTGTTTTAATTTAAACACTGTTTAAATTGACTACATAAAGAAATCATGTAACATAGTAATTTGTGAATCAATAAACAATCAAAACCAAGCATACAAAATACATCTCCGCACATACTACATCTGCCATGTTGCCATGGTGTCTTCATGCAGTGTTTTGTCCATAAACATTGATTCATGGTGCCTTTATGCACATCATATACCGATTGCTCCTTGCTTGTTAACAAGCTTCATTCCACTGAAATCAATTTCCTCTGTTTAATGAAACTTTCAACAAAAATGAAGAATTAATTGCACCAAAATCATTAGCTACTGTAGCAATTGCTTGACATGTTATAAACCAGTCAGACTAATGGGATTGTATAGGCATAACGAACTGGTTTAGAAACTCGATACGTGATCAATACTCACCTTTAGGTTGGGTATAAGACTAACCATCTAGGAAATGAGCCCTGCTGGATTTATTGTCCGTTAATCAAAGACGTTGCTGGATACTACTAATAGATAATGTGAATTACAGCATTGCACAAATGATGCAACATTGATCAATCCATGATTCTGCCGACAATTAACTTTGTATGAAACCTAACAATAAATCCATCCGAGAGACAGAATACTAAAACATTTCCTGAGTGGTATTTGCTCTCTCTCATTGATTATTCTTTTACATTCCATTGCCATTAATGTGTGTAATAACACTAGCAAATAATTAAAGGAGAATACAAATGAATGATTGTTTTGGTAATGATGCCATGCAAATTGAGAGTTTGTAAATAACTCTCTGAGGGCAAAAATGTCATCTACTGTATATAGGAGATTGATTGCTGTAACAGAAAAAAGGTTTTGTCATGGTGGATGGTTATGAAGATTGCAATGAATGTGTTTGTGTGAAGAGCATGGGTTAAACACTTGATGTGATACAGATGGCAGAGGACATGTTTGTCTGTGCACTGTGCTTTTGTCCATATGTGCATTCACATACTGTATAAAAAGCAGTCTCATCAAACAGAGTGCTGCAGCTCATCTCCATTTAACTAGTGTTAAAAGGAAAATCAATGGGAGATTTGTGACAGGAAGTATGTTTATTCTCTATAGCCTTTTCAGTCATTTAGAGGGGGAGAGGTTTGTTTAATTTTTACCCCACAAATCTTGACCCTCATTGGTTTGAGCCTGTAAGAACGGGGATAGCTGTAAAACTCAACCCCCAAGAATAATTTGTTTAAATGGCTCTCATTCATCACACTTAGAAACACAAACAGTATGGCGGTAAGCAATATTCAGGGTCAATCGATTGAGAGTAATTTGATCCGTGTCATCTGTACAGCTAATTGATTGGCCATTTCAAAAGCTATATGGTGTGTAAGCACATCCGGTCTGTGTAGAAGCCATTACGAGGTTGATCCCCATTATATTATATTAATTAGTAGAGAAAAGAAACAGCATTCATTTTCCCCTTCGGATGGCAAATGTGTTCAGTGCAATCATTTGTCTTTGAACAGCTATAGGATGTAATTAAGTCACGTTTGAGGAACAGTAATTGCCGACTTTGATGGTTCCTTTTGATTACTTGATCAAAGAAAAGAAAATTGCCTCACTTTCAGCCTGTCAGCTAATAGACTTCCACTGAAGGCCTTTGGAAACTGCTGAGATCACTGTGGCGGGTTTTATTCAGAGCACAAGGTGGATCAAAACCGACTGAAAATGACCAAGCAAGGACTCCAATGCTGTTCAGAAAGAATTGCTTCTTTTGAGTTTTTTTTTACCCCCGTCTTTATTTCGTTTCAAAACCCCATTGAAATAATTTCTTGTTTAATAGCATTCAACAAGTACTCCTCTCCCAATTGAACACTGACCAAAATTAAACAATTACATTTTTAATTTCCAAACTCGGGCACTAGTGACATTTCTCACAAGTGGCTTCCTTCAATTCTCTCTCTTTAAGTGGGAGAGTAAGTGAAGTGCTGATGAGGTTGTTAATGCTGGACAGATTCTCCCACGCATTTTGGCCTGGTGCTCTTTTTTTATTTTGGACAATTGCCACTCTTGTCTGCTTCCTCAATTTGATCTTAGTAGTTTCTTTTGTCAGCTTTTGTCTCTTAACAACTTCATCTCAAGTTCCAGCATCTGGGACTCATGACAGTAGAGCAGATCTGGTATGATTCATGAACAATTTAAATATGAAGTTTCAATTTGACTTGGCAACACAGGAGCTAAATAATCACTCTCACACTCAATGACCCACCCACCAACTCACTCACCCACTCACTCACTCACTCACTCACTCACTCACTCACTCACTCACACACACACTCAGTCACCCACCCACTCACTCACTCACTCACTCACTCACCCACTCACCCACCCACCCACTCACTCACTCACCCTCACTCACCCACCCTCTCACCCACCCACTCACTCACTCACCCACTCACCCACCCACTCACTCACTCACCCATTCACTCACTCACCCTCACTCACCCACCCTCTCACCCACCCACTCACTCACTCACCCACTCACCCACCCACCCATTCACTCACTCACCCTCACTCACCCACCCTCTCACTCACTCACTCACGCATGCACACTCAGTCACCCACCCAATCACTCACTCACTCACTCACCCGCTCACTCATCCACCCACCCACCTACTCACTCACTCACTCACTCACTCAGTCACTGCCAACTCACCCACCAACTCACCCACTAACTCACTCACTCATGCACACACACACACACACACACACACACACACACACACACACACACACACTCACTCAATCACCCACCCACTCACTCACTCACTTTCACTCACCCACCCACCCTCTCACTCACTCACTCACTCAACCACCCACCCACCTACTCACTCACTCACCCTCACTCACCCACCCACCCACCCACTCACTCACTCAGCCTCACTCACTCACCCACTCACTCACTCACTCACTCACTCACTCACTCACTCACTCACCCTCACTCACTCACCCACTCACTCACTCACTCACGCATGCACACTCAGTCACCCACCCAATCACTCTCCCCCCCCCACCTACTCACTCACTCACTCAGTCACTGCCAACTCACCCACCAACTCACCCACTAACTCACTCACTCACGCACAAACACACACTCAGTCACCCACCCACTCACTCACCCACCCACTCACCCACCCACTCACTCACTCACTCACCTTCACTCACCCACCCTCTCACTCACTCACTCACTCAACCACCCACCCACCCAGTCACCTGCCAACTCACTCACCCACCAACTCACCCACCAAATCACTCACTCACTCATAGTGGTTTTTATACTGTATAAAACCCCCTAACCTACCCATCACAGAAAACCCAACATGCGTGTGTGTGTGTGTGTAGGCTATGTGTGTGTGTCTTTCTGAAGGCACTGTGTTAAACTTAATTCTATTGCTTTCTTCTCTTTTTCTCTAAATGAACCGTTTATAAAAATCAATGGAATATGGCATATAATAGTCAGAAACTAAAATGTGCTGGAATATGTCTGCTTATTTATCAGAACTCCTTGGATTACCCTCAATCAAAGCGAGCAATACAGTTTCCACAGGAAGTAGGAGTCGTGTTCCCTCTAGTGGTCTTACATTAAAACAACACAAAAACAAGTTTGAATGATGATAAAAATATAGATAAAAAAAGAAATTATTCAAAAAAGTAAAAAGAGATCTACTTGCTGAATGCAAACAAATCTATTCAACTAAACAAAAAAATGAATACAAATTAAAATTATACTGTATTTGTATTATTCTCATCTCATTGAATGGGATGTTCAATCAGCTTGCCAGTAGATGGCAATGTTGTACAGTTTGTCACATATCACACGAGACATTGCAAACTCATCTTTTTTTTTTTTTTTTTGCTGTCTGTGCACCATTCTGAAGATCACCAGATTTATCACACATTTGGAGCATCATTTAAATAGTCAGCAGTCAACAGGTCATACAGTCTGAGACATCTGAGAAAATGTGATTTCTCCGTCTAGTTTCATTGCTTGTGCTTTCGTTCTTGACAAAATCCAGGATTAAGTCACAGCTTGAGCGGCACAAACCCTGAGTTTTGAAACAAGCTTTAAGAGGCACTGCAAAGGTCAGTAAACATCCATCCTAACATGAGTATTTAGCTAATCTGACCAC